CTTGGTATCATCTGCAAACTTAATAAGCGTACTTTTAATGCCAATATCTAAATCGTTAATGAAGATATTGAAGAGAGCCAGTCCCAAAACAGACCCCTGCGGAACCCCAGTTATTATACCTTTCCAGCAGGATTGTTAACCATAACTCTCCAAGTACGGTTTTCCAGCCAGTTATGCACCCACCTTATATTAGCCCCATCTAAGTTGTATTTGCCTAGTTTATTGATAAGAATATCATGCGAGACCGTATCAAATGCCTTACTAAAGTCTAGGTATACCACATCCACCGCTTCTCTCTTGTCCACAAGACTCGTTATCCTGTCAAAGAAAGCTATCAGATTGGTTTGACATGATTTGTTCTTTACAAATCCATGCTGGCTTTATCTATCACCATGTTATCTCTCAGATATTTATACAGTATTTCCTTAATTACTTGCTCCATTATCTTCCCTGGCACAGAAGTTAAACTAACTGGTCTGTAATTTCCTGGATTGTTCTTATTTCCCTTTTTATAAATGGGCACTATATTTGCCCTTTTTCAGTCTTCTGGAATCTCTCCTGTCTCCCATGATTTTCCAAAGATGATAGCTAGAGGCTCAGATACCTCCTCTATCAGCTCCTTGAGTATTCTAGGATGCATTTCATCAGGCCCTGGTGACTTGTAGGCATCTAACTTTTCTATGTGATTTTTAACTTGTTCTCTTTTTATTTTACCTTCTAAAACTACTCCCTTCCCACGAGCCTTCACTATGTTAGGTATTGCTACAGACTTCTCGGTGAAGACCGAAACAAAGAAGTCATTGAGCATCTCTGCCATTTCCAAGATGAGTGCTCCCCTTGAACAGACCTGGCCAGTGGCGCAGTGCAGCACAGCTGTTCTCACTGAGGGAGACAGCATATGTCTGACACCACTATTGGCAGTAGCCCGATGAGGTGTCCAGGTGGAATTGTTGCCAAGAGACTGGAGGAGTTCCAGGGACAATAGCCTCATTCCAGCCTGGGATGACTGGCAGGGGTCCCTGACTAGCAGGAGCATAACTGTCTATTTCTGGACAGGCTGTACTGTGGCACGCTTTTCTGTATCCAGTCTGGGCATTGCTGCTTTGCCCTCCAATGTGTTCCTGGCCAACAGCCTAAATGGTGGGAGGGAGTAGAGAAATCCCAGTTGGTTGTGGGAAGAGATGCAAGGAGTGTAGGTCCAGAGCCCCAATTTAGTATCAGGCTTGGAACTGGGTCCTGATCAGCTGCGGCGATGCAGCTTCTGACTTGCTGAGTCCTGGGCAGATCCCTGTGTCATTGCCGCACCTTCTCCAGCTGCTGCATTAGCTTCCCTTCCTGGACCAGCTCCGTGGAGGGCTTGGCAGTGCCCTGCTCTAGCGAGGGAGGCTGTTGTGTAGTCAGGCACCTCCTGCCTGTGACTTGAACGTCATTGGCAAGGGGACATGAGTCGGGACTTCACATTCCACAGCTCGGGAGGGGAGAGGAATCCATTAATTGCAGCAGTGGTGAGGCCTTGTCTCATCATCCGTGACAAGACAAACACATACGCCCTGACAGGGCCAGTGTCCTCTCCAATGGGGCCTTTACGGTCTGATTATCACGTCATCCAAGAGAGTGTGTCCTCACTCACCTTCCCTTGCATGCCTGGGAAGAGGGGCATACATCTTTCCAGCAGAGCCTGACTGAGGAAGGTGCTGTCGTACTGGCTTTGTGGGCTGGCTAAACCCCTTTTTCCGCAACTTCTCCTCTAGCGGACTGCGTGAAGCAAACTGTCCAGGGCCATGGCGTGAAGGGGCTTTATCGAGGCCTCAGCTCATTGGTGTATGGCTCCATCCCAAAGGCAGCTGTAAGGTAAGGCGCTCCAGCTGAGAGCCCCGGCCTTGCCCTGAGGTGTTTGTGAAATGCAGCCGTAGTAATCTGAGCCTGCGTGATCTTCCTGCTCTCCTTGTCGCCCACCAGTCCCCCGAGATGAGAAACCCCCAGGAGTCCCCTTGAAAGTGGCCCCCTCTCGCTGCTGAGGGAATCTTGGGCTTTCTCTCAGCCTCTGGGCAGAACAGCCCTGCCAGGTGTGCAGAGAGGCTGGTGAGAGCCCTAGGGGAAGGCTACAGACATGCCACTTCCAGAGGAGCACAGTGCAGAGGAGCCCTGCGAGCTGCTTGCCATAGAGCAGTTGTGTCCAGGCCTGAAGCATGGAGATGGGCTGATGCAGCTCGAGTCCCGTTGCAGGGAGGGGAGGGAATGACTCGGTGGTTTTGGACCTATCCACAAAGTCATAGGATCTGGCCGAACGTTACGGGTCACATGCCCAGTCCCCCAGTAGCAGGTGGGACTGCTTCCCTGGATGGCTGTTCCCTTTGGAATGGAATGAGAACACTGCTCTTACCAGACCAGCCTGAGCAGATGCTGCCAGCAGGCCTTGCTGTCTGTGGGGAACTCCCCCAAGGCACCATTAGCCGTGTGCACTTGGGGACCCTCCCAGCTCTTCCAGGCTGAGCCTTTCCCAGTCGTAGGGTGGCAGGGGAACACTGCTGACCTTGTCTTCTCCAGCCCCAACTTCCCCAGTGTGGAAATGCTGTAAAAGAAAAAATATTAGGTCTGAGCAGTTTGCTTTCCCTTCCCATTCTCAGCACCAGCCCAAAGGGTGGGGGCAGTGGAGTGCTGGCATTTCAGATTTGCTCTTCTCTGGCACATTAGGGCAAGGGTGGTTGGTGACGTTTCCACTTGAGGAGGCTGTAGTGTCCCTACCCAGGCCCCACCCCCTTCGCACTGTCTCCCTCCTCTCTTCCCTGCACATCCTGTATCCCTGCTCACTGTGTGCTTGCCCCCTTCCAGCCAAATCCCTGAACCCAAACAAATTATTTCTGAAAAAACCCTCCACTTTTTTCTGCAGTTTCTTTCTCAAAAAAATGGAGCATGTTTTGTACCATGTGCCAGATATACAGAAGGTACCTAATTAACAGCACTAAATTTGGGAATAAGAAATGTCAGTCACAGGTTGTTGTTTTTTTAAACCCAAATAGCTGAAATGCAGGCAGCTTGCAAATGCCCCAAATAGCTCTCATTGATCCTGGGGAACAAAAAATGGCAAGCACCAGTTAAAGCTAATTGAAAATTTGTGAGGGGTTTGTTGTTTAAGTTTTTCCTATTACAGACTAATAGTCTAGTAGCACCTTAAAGACGAACAAAACACGTAGATGGTGGTATGAGCTTTCTTCACACAATCAAACAAGGTGTCAGGCTTCGCCTGGAACTGGCATTTTCCCCCAACAGGAAGAAAATGACTGGAATCAGACTGCAAACTAATTTTCACTTCACACAAATTAATTGAGGGCTTCCTATGTTGATTGTTTCTGTTGTCTGTAAGCACCTCAGACAATAAATAAGAATCGCCAAAGTACATGCCAGTAAAATACAAGCTGGCTGCTGATTTAACCTGTTCAGCTCACAGAACCGAGAAAATAAAATTTCCCACTGAGGTAGCATGACGGTGCCAATTTTGTGTATCAGACTGGTGGATCCAATATCCCCAGAGGTGAAGGAACAAAATCCCCAGCTTTGTTTTCACCAGGCAAACGTATTCTCCCAACCACTGAAACGAGCTGAGCCCTATTCTACCAATAAATTCTCTCTTCCTTGCCACCATATCCCTCCTCCCTCTGTCCCCCTCCACCCCCATTCTTCCCTCCATACTCCTTTTTCCTAAAGCTCCCACCACTCAAGATCACTGCCCTCCCCAACCAAGCGCTCAACCTACCCTGTTCGTCACAGAATTTGAACAAGTTAAAAAAAAAAAAGAAGAAGAATTGGCCCAGATCAAGCTCTGAAGGGCTCCTCTGGCCCAGGTGGAGGGTTCTCCATTCCTTTTCACCATTTATTGTTCTGCCTAGCCCCACTTAGCAGGCCAGCACAGGATATCTGCTGCCATAAATGATCCTGCCCTCCTTGCAACACACACACTGCATGGCATTCTTGCATCTTTGGCTAGCCCTTTGAAAAGTGCTGATGGGGGGAGGGGACCCTGCTCTCACTACACCTGCTTCTGCATGAATAAAGCAGAAAGATTTTGAATTTGTAAAAAAAAAAAAAAAAACAAAAACAAAAAAAACCCACCTCTTTGCAAAGTTGCACTTCTCTGCACTTTCCATCTGATGATCCCAAAACACCTCACTAAAACCAATGAATTTACACAGACTTCTGTGAGGCAGGCAAGTATTATCCCTTTTTTCAGATGGAGAAATTGAGGCATGGGCTAATGGCATTTTTTTTTTAAATCCGTGGAAAAACTCTCCTTGAGACAGTCTTAAATGATGGGTCCAATGTGACACTGGAAGTCTTTGACAGAAAGGCCATTAAGAAACCCCCTCCTCTTCACATTGCTAGCAGAGGGGAGCACAGGCCACTAGCTGCATTCAGGTGTGGAGATCACTTTGAAATCCCAGCCTCCCCCAATACAGGAACTCGGCAGTGAGGCTGCACCTGACCCTAACACAGTGTAAGGGTAGCCCCTCTGTGGCTGGGTAAGCTCAGCCCAGCATGAGTCATGTGTGGAGGGGGGGGGTTACTGTGGGGGAACTAGGTGTGGGCAGTTCAGTGGGAGATCTGAATGCAAAAGGGCTTGCTGGGAGGGTTCTGGTGTAAGGGCAATGGGACTCTGAGCTCAGTGGAGGAGTCAGGAAGAGGTGGGACTTGGTGTGTGGTCCAGGTGCTGGGAAAGTGGGACTTCATAGGCTAGAGGGTCCTGGTGCAGCTTGGTGGGAGACTGGATGTGGGGGGCTTGTTGGATGAGTCCAGGCTTAGGAGAGCAGGACTCTTCAGGATGAGGGTTAGATGAGCCTGCTTAACTAGGGAGCCCCAGCTACTGCTGAGGGGACACTGCCTGCCAAACTCCTGCTAATAGCTGTCAGCAGTCCCAGCCTGCTCTGGAGTTTGGGCAGGTGCCTACCATTGCAGGAGAATGGTGTGTGGGCATCTGTGCTTCCTGCAGTGTGAGGGCAAGGGTGGGCAAAGGCTACTGAGTGTTTGGTGCCAGGGAGCAATGGAGGGGCTTGGACAGGGAGGGCGTCACTTCTTGCGGCAGCCTCCTCCCAGGTCCTGGATGGGGAGAGAAGAGGGAGGCCTATTCGGCGGGCTACTAAGGCACCTTCCCCCCTCCTTGGGCAGGGGGTTCCCAGCTCTCTCCCAATCATAGCCTCTGCAGCCATCTTGTGGCAGGAGGGAGTGCAAGAGTCTGCTCTGAGTTGTGCTGGTTGGGGCACCAACAGTCAGACGTGTGCCCCCCAGTCGCTGGCCTGAGTTTCCAGCTCACCCCAGAGGCAACCCAAAGGCCAGGTCCTAGGCTCCCTAGTGAACTGCCCATGGGCTACAGTGCAAGCTTCCAGCCGTGCTGCTTGGCCCATCTGCTCTAGAAGCCAGCTATCAGAAGACCATCTAGCCCCGGGCCTGTCTCTGCCCACCACCTGTGTCTGCACGGTCCCAGGGGGTTTGCATTGGCGGCCTTTCTCTCCTGCCAGGTTCGGCATGTTCGAGTTCCTCAGCAACCACATGAGAGATGAGAAGGGCAACCTGAACAGCACGCGCGGCCTGCTGTGCGGCTTGGGAGCCGGGGTGGCCGAGGCAGTGGTGGTGGTGTGTCCCATGGAGACCGTAAAGGTACAGCACAGGCCCTCTGATCTCTGCTGCCCAGGGCTGGGCTGAGTGGGAGGAGATTCCCCCTTTGGAGGTAGCTGGAGAAGCCTGCTGTCAGACCCAGAGGTAGCCTGCTGTGCGCTCTCCATCCCAGCAGGGCATTAACTCAGCACTGCTCCCTGCCTGGCCTCATGGCTGTACTGTGCTCCAGGCAGGATGGAATGTCCATGGACTGCAGGCACCCACTAGTGGTGAATGGTCAGAGATGCAGGGAAAGGCTTTGCACTGGGGATTCCCTCTGGATTCTCCTGTTGATGGAAAATGTTAGCAACAGATCAAAGAGGGTCTGATTCTTCCCTACCCCCTGGTGTCCCATATTTCCTGTAGTGAATGATGGCATTTCTCTCCAAAGCCAGCCTTTGTGGCCTGACCCCAGAATCCATCAGATATTAATGCAATGAAATAGATGCTTAGCCACCCCAATACACCAGTTGGCCGCAGCACAACGCATGAAATATCTTTGCTGCTATGGTCTCTCACCAAGAGCATTTTGCATCATTGTTGCTTTTAATTCGTTGATGCCCCACACCATGAGGTCATTTCTCTATCGCTGCTCTTTCCCCCGGTGTTTATACTGGGTTTTTTTCCTCCTTGCTTTGTAACCTCCAGACCCAGATTCCGAAATTGTGCCTGGCCTGGAAATATGGTTTTGGGGTCCGTAAAATGTGCAGTTTTCAATATGGGGTATTTGGGCACTAATCCTTTTTATACAGTGTAATGTGAGAGCCAGGGACTGGACTGGAAAACTGGCTTCTGCCTGCAAGACTCTTTGGCAGAATATCGAGGACTGAGTTATGAGCAACAGGACTGGGACTTAGAAGTCTGTCCCCAGCTCTGCCACTGGCCTGCTGTGTGACCCCAGATATGTCCATTCACCTCTGTGCCTCGTGGAGATAAATAGATGGACTCTATTTTGCACAGATCTTCGCATGGAAGTGGCTCAATAAGGGTGAAGGGACTGTTATTATTGATGTGTTATATGCTCTTACAGGTGGCCAATAGCTTAAGTATTTGGTAGGATGCACTCGTGCTCTGCAGGCCTAAGCTAGCAATCGCCCCTTCTTCCTATTCTGGGAATTCCAGATTTTTCTCCGTCCAAGTGCAGAGCTTTGTGTGTTTCGAGCATTCTAAGAAATCTAGCCACAGTCCTTCCTCCACAGGCCAATGATCCCTAAACTGCATGGTCCCTCTCTCCTTTCTGATTGCACTTGCAGTGCATTAGCAAACACTTGTGCAGTTGCAGGTAAACTCCAGATGGGGTTTCCATTCCCCTCTGGAATGGCATCAGTATGGTACAGCCCTGCATTGGCAAAGACCCCCGCTGTTGAATCCCTGAGCAGAGCCCTGCTGCCAGACATATGACTGGCATGTTTGCACTCCTATAGCTTGAGGCTGGGGATCTTCACATGCTGATTGGGATTAACAAATCCTAATGTTCTCTCCCTCCCAGGTGAAGTTTATCCACGACCAGTGCTCCCCTAAACCTAAGTACCGAGGCTTCTTCCATGGTGTGCGTGAGATCATCCGCGAGCAGGGTGAGGCCTTTGGCATGGTGACGTTACCGTTTCCTGCAGTGTGCGCAACTCTGTCATGCTGGCTCTGGGGGCTGAGTTGTGAATTGCCTCCTCCCACCAGAGCAGGAGGCTGCCCGCTCCCAAGCCCCAGCTTGTTTTCTCTCCCAGCCAGGCTGGGGAAAGCAGCGCGGCCTTGCTGGAAGGTCTGTGGGAGCATAGGCCAAGTGTCAGGTGGTTCATTCCCTGACAGTCCCATAAAAGCCATGCAGAGCAGGCCTTACCCCATTGCCAATGAGATTCAGGAGAAATGTCTTTCCCCCCTGAGCCTCTGCTGTTAATGCTAAACTAATGTGCAAGCTGAGTGGGTGGGGTGCAAAAGAGCTGGGGCAGTAACTGGACTCTGTTGCGGGTTCCGCTAGGGTGGGGGGAGGGGAGATTGTACTGTGGGCCACAGGAAGACACCGGGTGGATGGTGTTCCTGAGAAGTCCAGCATCCTGCTGCATGCCCTTCTTGAACACTGGCCTTTCTCCCCTGCCACAGGTCTGAAGGGAACCTACCAGGGTTTAACTGCTACTGTCCTCAAACAAGGATCGAACCAGGCCATTCGCTTCTTCGTCATGACGGCGCTCAGGAACTGGTACAAAGGTACTCACCGCGCTCTGCCCCGCTCACGCGTCTCCACACTGAGCACTGCAGGCAGAGTGCCACGACCTGCTGCAGCCAGGGCAGGTGCTGGGCTCTGGCTTCTCCAGCCTCAGCTGAGCTGCTGCTGCATCCCCCCTCAAGTGAAATGTACCCACCCGGAGAGAGTTTCTTGAGGGGTCACTTTGATAGCCCTGAGGAAGGGCCCAGGGCAGGTCCGAGCTGGGGAGAAGGGAAGCCCAGGGGGTGCAGTCTGTGAGTAAGCTGGGACTCTCATGGGGTCTGTTCACAGGGTCTCCTCCCCTCTTCCCTTGCTTGTGCCTGCCTGCTGCAGTACACAGGCATCTTATGGGCACTCTTGATGCCCCAGCCCTGTGGGCCCTCTCTGGGCCCCTTTTACAAGCCTGTTCTGTATTAGTCACCCAGGGTGCTTTCCTGCCCACTTGCTGCTAGGCTAGCCCTAACCTAGGCTCATGTGTTCCCTGCCTTTGGAGCCATGGGGTTTGAGGACTTGTGTTCACTTTAAATCTGTACCAATGCCTCTTGGTGGCAAACAGCCAGCCTGGCCCCTCTGCTCACTGCACACACCCGGAGAGAGTGCATCTCTGGCCCCCCTCGGCCCCTCCCTGTTCTCTGGCTGTGCTGGGTGTCCCACTTGTGGACACCCTGTTCCTTTCACCGCTCCTCCTTGCACCCCCAGCTGGCTGGAGCGCCCTTGCAGCTCTCCTGTGACATCCCTGCACTCTCCTACCTCTTGGCACTCCTGGGCTTTGTCCTTGTGTGTGTCTCTCCCTCCACCCACCCCGCTTGTCGCTCTCCTTTTTCCCAGGGGATGATCCCAACAAGGTGATGAATCCCATCGTCACTGGGATGTTTGGCGCCTTTGCCGGAGCTGCAAGTGTCTTTGGCAACACCCCCCTGGATGTGGTAAAAACCAGAATGCAGGTACTGCATGTGGTTCCTGAGCTTCTGCGTAAAGCCCCTCGTTCGCCTCTTGCCTCCGGGTGCTCCATGGCCACGGGGCCAAGTGCCAAAATGGCTAAGTGCTGTACGGCCTTCCCTTGATGGAGAAGCAGGAGCTAGGACTGAGTGTGCCCTGAAAAATGTCACCCAGGATGCTTGGCCCTGGGAGAACCTTAGACCCAGTGTAGCAGTGAGTCCACATCAGCCATGCTGTTCTGGAGTCAGGCCACAGGTTGGCCCCATGTCCATTCTAATGCCAGGCTCCAGGACCATGTTGGGTCTGCAAGTTAACAGCAAAAGATTCGCTCCTAGGCTGAGCAGGCACAGGACTCCCTGTGCTAGAGGAATTTTGTCCTGTTCTTCTCCTTGCAACATAACCATCTGAATATCCCTGGCATCCACCCAAAGATACCTGCAGTGGGGCATAGGCCTGGCCACTGCCACTTGGGTTAGACCTCATCTAAGCACCATGCAGCCCAAAGACGGAGGCTGCTGCTGTAACCTCCAGCTGTGCAAACTGAAGCCCACCAGAGCTGTTCCAAAATCTCCTAGGAGCCACAGTTTGAGGGTGCTTTGCTGGGAACTGGGGCATAGATTTCACCACAATGGGTCTCTGACCTTTCTCTCTGCTTCCTGCAGGGACTTGAAGCGCACAAGTATAAGAGTACCTGGGACTGCGCCTACCAGATCATGAAATACGAGGGGCCCATTGCGTGAGTCTGGCATCTTGTTTCCATGCAGGGGACCGAGGGCTGGGTAACTGTAGAGAAATGGGGATGATCCCTCCCCTGCAGTTCAGATGTGTATGGGGAAACAAGGAGCAGTGCCACAGGGATCCAAGAGGGAGCTGTCTTTGGGCCCATGAGAAGAGGGAGCCTGTTCCCCAGGCATAGAGATAGGACCTAGAATCTGAAGAAGTGGGTGGTGAGGAGAGTGAATCCTATGACAGGAATGGGGCAGCTGGCCAGAAAGCCCTGGCTAGGAATCTTTAGAAGCGGAGGTCTCTGAAAGCAGCCTTTCCCTGGCCCTCACCCCTTTCATTCCTGCAGACACGGGGCTTGCCATGCTTGTGCAGGGTGGGGGAGTTGCATAGAGATAGGACCTAGAATCTGAAGAAGTGGGTGGTGAGGAGAGTGAATCCTATGACAGGAATGGGGCAGCTGGCCAGAAAGCCCTGGCTAGGAATCTTTAGAAGCGGAGGTCTCTGAAAGCAGCCTTTCCCTGGCCCTCACCCCTTTCATTCCTGCAGACACGGGGCTTGCCATGCTTGTGCAGGGTGGGGGAGTTGGAGAGGAACTCGCCTCGGCCGCGTCTGTCTGGATGTGGCCATCGTCTTTGTCATCTACGATGAAGTGGTCAAGGTCCTCAACAAAGTGTGGAAAACCGACTGAGCCTGCATCCCACCTAGGGCAGCGGCACCGCCTCTTCCACCACTACGAGGCAATGTCTGGATAAAGATGACCAGCCTGGGAGGAATCCTACGGACATTTCACCATGAGCGGTGCCAAGGTTCAAGTCCCCTTGTTGTGCTTGGCCAGTCAGCCTCATATCAAACACTGACCACCTTTTATTTATAGGATTGAACTGTGGAGCAGTTTAAATTATTGATCATGTGCTAAAATTATGGTGGGGGGAGGGGAATCTATCTGCAAAATTCCCAAAGGCCAGCTCCAGTAGCCTGAGGGTATAGAGAGGGGCATGGTTCTTCAGCCAGATTAGAATTCCATCCAAAATTCTTTTTGCCTTTTGAGAATCAAGCTAGTAAAGATTTCCACTTAGCTCACTGCCTTCTCCTGCCTCTCCCAGCAGGAGGTCCTGGAGCGCTGGCTGCAGGGGAGTGATTGTAGTGGTTTGATGTCCCTGCCTATGGGGCGCTCACTGCTACTGCAGTCCCATCCTCTACTGGTAGGAGGTGCTCTAGGGAAGGTGAGAGAGCCCTGGCTTTGGAGGGAGCCCCAGGTACCCCTAGCAGAGCTCCCAAGTGCCTCGGTTGCAGCATTTTCCAGTGGGAGTTACTAGGGCCAGTGAGTGTTGATTGTGAAGTGACCCTGTGAGACATGCTTGTTGTTTAGCCTCTGGTTTAAGCCAGAAAGCTGAGTGGAAGCCCCTTGGGAGAGGTGGTAGTGTGATCCAGACCCCTGGCTCCAAATACATGCTTTCCTATGGGAGCTTTGTCCACCCAGCTGCCTCCACTGGAGGAGAGAGGAAATCCACTCTGTACCACCTCTAGGAGCAGAGGGGCTTTGCTGTGGAATCCACCAGGAACACAGGTCCTGTCCTTGACCAACCCAGCCATTCACACAGGCTCCTGGAGCTGGTGCTGCAGGTGTGACAGAGACCCCAAGTGGTGATGCCTCCATATTCCTCCTCCTCCTCCTCACTATGTGAAGTCATTCCCCAGCAAGTGAAATTCCAGCCTGAAACAACCAGGTTACTTCTCTGTCTGCCACTTGGCCTTCTCTGATTAAACTGCAGCCTTCCACATTCCCTTTCCTGCTGTGCATCTTCCCCTCCACCCTGACTCTCCTCCACTTGATATTCCAATACTTAGACCCAGACAAGTACCTAGCTAGACTAAATGAACAACCTGCAGAGTTGTTAACACTTGTACTGTATCCTCAGGGCACAGTTGACCCTGCCTTGCCCAGTGCCAAGAGCTCATAATGGTTCCAATGCAGACTTGTGCCAAAATCATGTGTCTGTCTACCATAGATATGCAGGGGTGTGTGTGTGTGTGTGTGTGTGTGTGTGTGTGTGTGTACGTACTATCTGACAAATGCAGCCTTAGTTCTTTGTTACGTGCAGGTGAAGAAGAAAAGCACGGGAAAGTGTCACTTTCCTACTCTTGTAAACCATTGGGTTTTTTGCATTTTACATTTGCAACTTGAATAAAATAAGAGCCTTGCTTTGGAACACACTGCAGAATTGAACCAGAATCTGTAAAGCCTGTGATCATCTTGCATTGTGTATGTGTGTGCGCACATACACCCTGTGTGTATGTGTAATAGTGCATTTACAGTAATATTATCCAGTAGTGGTCCCTGACCCACCATTATTTCTCTGTAGTATCCATAGCCCCTATTGTGCTATGGGGTAGCCTTTGGAAAGCAAATTGCTGTCCCAAGAACTGCTGTTCAGAGTCTGAGGGCTGGCTGGCTTGTGAGGCAGCGCCCTGGAGTTCGTGGTTACCATGCTGGCAGCCAGGGCAGATGCTTTGTTTTCATTTCTGCTAATAATGCAGAGTCCAGGAGTATCTTTCCAAGCTGACTTGGTCGCTCATGTTAATGTTGTGCTCACTGCTGGATGCTGGAGTGACTCTTGCCAACTTGAAGGCCAAATCGGGGCTCTCAGTGAGAACCTCAACAATAAACCAAAGTTGCCTGTTAACAAAGTTGCCGTTGCTCTGTGTGGGTCAAAGCCAGACGTGAGTCTATTACAATTTAAGCCTTTTGCTCATTTCCCTTGGCCCTCAAGAGCCTCCCTGTATTCTGGATGAGCAAAAGGTTCCAGGAGAGGGCCCTAGGTCCCGGATCAAATGTCCTAAGTCCCAGACGGATTTCATCAATGCAGCTAGCTACACTGCAGCCACACGGGCATGGTGCTATGGTCTGTTACACTGGCTGCAGATCCTCTGACATGTCAGCCCGTGGGCACTGTGCTCTGGGTTATTCAAATTCTAGGGCGCTTGCTATGAAATTGCACTGGTAGCTAAGTTCCAAATAGGCCAGGAGCTCCCACATTTTATGTTTTTTTCCATCCAGTTCAGTCCATTGCTTCAGCACTGAGCTGATAAGGGAATGAGATTTGATGTCCCGTCTGGTTCCCGACAGGTCTCAGATGCTCCCGTAGCACATTAAGAATGAAGTTCCAAGTGACTGAAAAGGTCTGTTTCTGGGGCTCCTCTATAGAGATGATCAAGGCAAGTGAGTAGAGCCCCTGCCTTTCGTGCTGCTGGGGAGGGGATCTGAAAGCCAGGTGGGGTTCTTCATCCCTGCTTACTGCAATGATGAGAGCAAAGAAGGTGCCCTAAGTTCCCTGCAGTGCAAATCGGGATGGAAGTGATGGGAGCTGAGAGAGCAGAAGAGAAGTACATTTGAGAGAGGCTCTTCCTACTGGAGACTAGTTAGTCGTCATGTCCAGGACCAATGACTTGTTTCCTGTGTTGCTTCTCATTCGTCTTCTTCTGGCCCCAGAGGAGCTGTTCCCTCCCAAAGCTGCCTTGGGGCTAGAAGGAGACCCCACCAAACAGATTCCTAGTGCAGGACCGAGAACTGCTGCCCTGGGGCACCCCTGGAGGGGTGGGAGTCACTGTTCCCTTCAGTCACTTGTGGTAGGTCAGACTCTGCTTGGAGTGGGATTCTGTGGGTGCAAGCCATCTCCTGACACCTATCCTTTGGAGGATGCCAAAGCCAGGAGAAAGCTGGAGCGTGTGCATTGTGTTGTCTCTTTGCCCCTGTCTTGGCAGAGTCTGCATGCTCTGCCGTCTGCAAAGCTGTGTCTTCTATTCATGTTGTCAGCCCCTGCTGCTTTCTCAGGTTTTACTGCAATCAGAGATTACATAATAAACAGAAACCTGCCACAAGATGGACGTCTTGCTGTACTTTTTTTCCCCCTGCGGTGTCTGTTTTCTGTCATGGGTGCCTCTGAATCACATGGAGCCAAAGCACTGGTTAATGTCAAGGACCGAGTATGTGTCGGCTCAAAGTTCAGAATACAAAAGGAATCCTCTTTTAATGAGCACACCCTGACTGAGTGGGAATGGTGCTGATTAATCTGGCCTGCTGATCAGAGCTCCATGCTGCAGCCATCCGCTGTACTGTTGGATACTCACTCTTATTTTTTGAGAATCATTAGGTGCGGCATCAGCTAACTCAAAGACTAATGTCTTTTGGCATCCATAGTAGAACAGGGATGCGACATGAAATGAACAAAGGTATGGTGGATGTGATGCTTTCTACAGTTGCCTGTTCTTCCAAGAGATGCAAATTACCCCCAGCAGTTTGCAAGAAAGATGCAGCCATCTCTCTGTTGCTGTGTGCACCTCAGAGAACCACGGTCTGAAATATTCCACTGTACTAGATCATAGAAGAGTTTTGGAGGTAGTACAAAGTCTTGTGAGGTAAAACCAGGTGGAATCAAGGGACATTCTGCTCTGCCAAATCGACGTGGAGGGGGCAGGGATACTGTTTCTTTACAAACTGCCAATCCTGTGAACTCCCCCTGAGATCTGACATTCAAAATGGGTTCTTTCTAGCTTAGTGCATCATCTACAATAAAGATTTTACAGGACCATTTTTATCACTACTGCAGCCCCATATACTCCAAATTTATAGAAGTTATGTTGTGTAGGGGATTGGTTAGAATCTCTGTAGCTTTGAAATCCTGCCTGATCTTCCTAGTTTTGAGATACGGATTGCCAGTAGGCCAGCGGGAGGAGAGTATCTTGGCTTGGCTTGTCAGGTGCCCAACATACCTTCGGCTGAGCGATGCAAACTGGAAGTGGAGTGTGTGCTTTTAGTTGTACAATAGCATCCATCTCAATGCAGCTAGGGCAGGGAGCATGTTCTAAATCATCAGCAAATCAAGTTTTACAGTGGGAACTAGACTGGGTCCTTTGAATCCCAGGCCTTCTCAGATCTGAACTTGGTCTCTGCCTCGGGAATAGCTGGGAACTGGCCCAGGTAGCATTTGAAATGCTCAGGAAGGGTGTCTCTCGGTGGAAAACAGTAAGACTAAGGAACCTGGCGAATGGATCTCACAGGATTGTCCAGCAGTAGAGAGAAGGCCACGCTAAGCAGAGACACAGTGCACCTCACTAAGCATCCCAGCTGTGGGGTTGGTCCCTAAGCCTTGCTGGAGCTGGGGCTATGCTTGCACTGCTAGAGTCCACGAGCAGCAGGAGGGGCCTTGGCTCAACCTCAAGCTTACAATGAAGAAACCATGTCAGGGTCTGAAAGCTGAGGTCTGAGCAGCAGGGGGGAAAGGAGAGAACATTCAGACACAGACAAACAACCCATCCCTGCTGGGATATGAAACATTCTCAGTGATGGTAACTTCTCCCCTGAGCCAAGCTCTGCCCCTTGCACAAAGCACTTCTCAACTATGAATGGACCTTGACTGGCTTCTGACTGTCCTATCAAAGGGACCTGCTGTAGAAACCCAGCCATCGCTGGGCCTGTACCCTCCTCCTTTTCTGTGTGCCTCCTGGCCAGAAGACAAAATCTGTACTGAAGAGCTCCCATCATTGTCCTAACTGGAACTAACCTTCCCCATCTTAACACAATACTGTGAGGCTGTGTCTACATGAGTGCGATCTTGCGCCAAAGCGGCCGCTTTTGCGCAAAAACATGCTGCCTGTCTACGCTGGCCGTGAGTTCTTGCGCAAAAACACTGACGTTCTAATGTGTGAAATCAGTGCTGCTTGTGCAAGAGCTATGATGCTCCTGCTCAGGAATAAGCCCTCTTGAGCAACTGTTCTTGCGCACGAGGCCTGTGTAGACGGGCAACATGAATTTCTTGCGTAAGAAAGCTCGATGGCTAAAATAGCCATCGGAGCTTTCTTGCGCAAGAGAGCATCTACACTGGCACGGATGCTCTTGTGCAAAAGCACAAATACTTTACAAACAGCAGTTAAACCTCCCAGCACCCTTGCCAGCTGAGTTAGTTTTACAGGTCAGCATGCTTAGGCAGACACACTCAGGATCATGGCAAAGAAAAAATTAAAACCCATGTCTTCTGACTTGCAGGCCAGTTTAGCTCCTGAACAACTATGCCTCGGTTCAGTCCCTACAGCACTGGTGAGAGGTTTCTATGTAGTTGGCCTTGCTGAGTTCTTGCTTGTGTGCACCACTGCTCTCTATGGAATGGAATCATTCAGATCTTCCTATTCACTACCTTCCAGGACACACAACACAACCATTCTCTCGGTATGACTAGCACTCCTTGGTCCTAGACAAGGAACTTTGCATTTGGCTGTACTCAAACACTGGTAATGTCTACACTTGTGGCTTCTTGCGTGAGTAATATGCAAATGAGGCTAAGTGTGGAATATTGCTGTCTCATTTGCATACCTTATGAGCCACCATTACTTTTCAGGAAGAATGGCATTGCGCAAGAGGGTTTTTCTTGTACAAGAAGGGGCAGTGTAGACATAGCCAGTGTGTCTGAATGCGACTGACTAACCAAGTGACCCAGATAGCTTTGTATAACTGCCTGTCCTCATTATTTACCACTGGGCTAGTAGATATCATCCCAAAGTGTTTTCATAGTTGATGAAAATGTTAAATAGTACCACTGCTTGATTAGAAGACAACTACTTTATGTGATGGGTCAGTTAGCCAGTTCTTAATCTACTGCATGGGTTCTTCAGTCATAATTTATCATCGTAATTTTTTAATCAGAACTGCATGCAGTATTAAAGCAAATGCCTTACAAAACAGCAGGCCTCTGGCACCTTAGAGGTGCCACTTTGTCTCATGATATATTTGTTATCTCTAAAATTACAAACTAACAGGGCTACCTCTCTGAGACCTTACCAAAGTGAGCGTACTACATCTCTGCAGTACTTTTTTTTATCACCTTTCTCATTGGAGGGCCCTGTTTTCCGTAAAACCATGTGAACAAAACAGTCAAGTATGGGTGTCAAACAAAAGTCTGCTAACTCCATCTTATAAGCACCTAAATGAAAGTGGCTTGATTTTTTTCCAAAGTGTTTAGTCCTTGCAAATCCTACTGAAGCCAAAGTGTGGTGCATATGCTCAACACCTGGAGAAAACAGGGACACTTTATGTTCACTGACCTCTACATTTACACCCTGCACGATTGGACAGATGCTCTCACCAGTGGTGGGAGTTCTCCCTCCGGATAAACACTTCCCCAATACCTAAATGGAGGGATGGATTCTTCTTACCATGTCATTTAAGGCTGTGGATTTTTCGTGGAGCTGGGCTGAGCCAGTGGCTGGGGTCTTCCCTGACAAAACAAAACACGGTTTGGTCCCTGTGGGTAAGAGGCCATGAACTCCAGCGCCTTAGTTGCACAGCTGCTGCCTCTGCCACA